CTGGAGGGAGAAGAAGAGGTTTCATACCTTTCCCAAGAGTATTAGCGCGTAAGCGAATCTAATGGATTCGACTGGAATTCGAATTCAGCTCTCTGATTCCTCAATCCGAGCCGCTATCCATTACTCCAACGTCCAAGGTACTTTTATGTCTGTTCCACACCAACAAAATCTACTTTTTTTTCTGAGAGGCAGTGCGTTATCTCGCGGAATCAACAGTTTAAACACGGCCAGTACGATTCCGTTTTCCTAATTTAACTCACCAGATTAATCCAGGAACTTTCAACAGTTGCCCCACATTGGGATCGCCTCCTCAGGCTGATAATGTCACGAAGTCACCTCCGTAACAAATCAAACACGGTGAGATTCGAACGTAATCAATCTAAGCCTTTGCCCACGCGGCCATATTGCATCATTTTACGTATATCAATTTCTGTTATCATTATCTTCATAATTCTTACTATATTTTCTAAAAAGACGCAGATGATCGCAAATATCTTGAAATTATATCACTTTCATTTTACTTTCAGCGGATAAACGTCATAATTTTGATTTGTAGAACTAAATATTAAAAGAAATATAAAAGCTTTACTGCACAATCGACAAGGCTAATGCTCAAAACCTGAATACATAATTAAAGTAGTAGCGAGATGATGAAATATTTGGCGAATTCGACTAGACACTTGGTATTCAAAATCAACCCAAACGCCTATGTACATGAAAAGAAAAAAGAAAAAAGGAAAATAAATGATCGACTGCATCGTAATCTTTAAGAAACTCACAAATGCGATTTTAAACAGCAAAGCAAATCCATGTGCTGACTGTGAAACCTACTGAAATTAGAGACATCCCATTGCACTGCGAGAGATTCCTGATATATAGATAAGCCAATCACGCTCACTGGGGGGGGGTATTTAGCGGGAGGTAATAATATAAAAGAGTGGAAGAAGGGAATTCTCCAGAATTATCGAATTCTCTTAGTTCGCCAGTTTGGGGCGAATGGCCATCAATACGAATGTGCGAAGGTGAGCCAGCAGACGAAAGAAGAGAGGCAGAAGAGACGGAGTCCAGGCCAGAAACATGAGAGAGGCCCACATGATTATCTGCCGACGAAAGCTTCCGACTTCGCCCTTGTGCCAAACTTTACCAACATCAGCAAACCAAGCTTTGCCAAGTCAACAACAATCATAACACTTCCGATTTAGATGCGGGTTGGGCCGATAATTTTACGTATATCAATTACTATTATTATTATTATTATTATTATCTTTGATTTCTGGCGTTTACACATTGCTTTCCGGATCCCGCCCAGGGACCTAAGGTTAGAAATGGCATCATGACACTTTCCACTGACAAAAAAAAAAAAAAAAAAAAGATTTACATAGATAAAGCCCTTCGTAAAGTGTGGGCTGTACTTGTCAAGAAAATTTTTTGTATCTCCTTGTGGCATGGGCTTCCAGGAATCCCTTCAATTAGTCTACTGCAATCTTTTCCAGCCAGTCCTAGGGCTCCAACTACAACAGGGATTGGTGATGTTCCCATATGCCACATTTTCGAGATTTCTATTTCAAGATCCTTGTATTTTGACATCTTTTTGAATATCTTCAAAGATACATTGCAGTCAGCAGGGACTGTCATATCAATAAGGAGGCACCATTTTTGTTTGTGGTCTTTAATAACAATATCTGGGCGGTTGGCCTTGATTGTTCTGTCAGTGTGTATTGTGTAGTCCCATAGAATTGTAACAGGTTCTATCTCCGTAACCGGGTCTGGGTGGTGTTCATACCAGTTTCTTTCAATTTCCTTCCCGTAGAAGTTGCAGATTTTCCAGTGCATATATTGGCCCACTCTGTCATGTCGGGTTTCATATTCAGTGGGTGCCAACATCGTGCAACCTGATACAAGATGATCAATCGTTTCTGGATATTTATAACAGAATCTGCATTTTGGGCTGACACAATATTTTAGTATATGTGCTTGATAATTCCCTAGTTAGCAAGCATTGGTCCCGTGCACAGCAAGGATAAAACCTTCAGTTTCGCTTTTTCAACCCTGCACTACGTAGCCACTGATGGGTACAGGTTTTTGTCTACGTCAGCTTTTTTTGGTACGGGCAGAGTATTGGCCATGAAGCGGTTTATCTTGCCATCGCTTCTGTATCTGGTCGGTTGCATTCGTCTTTGCTGTCTTTTTAGGTATTTTGCAGTTTCAGCCGGTGTATTGTGCTGTAGTTGCATCTCTACGCCCATTTGAAACTCCATTTTGAATTGGTTGGCTTCTTTCATTACAGAGTAAAGACGCTTACTACTTTCATGTTCCTTGACGCATACCATCATCCAGTTTTCTGTAGTTTCCAAGTATCTTTGGCGGCCATTTGTTGTAGTTTTGTAGGACAGTTCTAGTTGAACTAATCCTCTGCCTCCTTCGGATCTGGGCACATACAGACGATCAACATCAGCTTTGGGATGCTGCATGCGATAGCAAGTGAGAAGCTTTCTTGTTTTGGCGCCCATTCGCTTAATTTCAGCTATGGTCCAGTTAAGGACATTAAAGCTGTATTGCACCACAGGGACAGCCAATGAGTTTATGGCTGATATTCTGTTTTTTGAGTTTAGCTCAGTATTTAGTACCAGACGTACACGCCTGTAGTACTCTTTTATTATTTTTTCCTTCATTTGGGGGTTTGGTATGCCATCTCCTTCGCTAATTCCTAGGTACTTATAAGCTTCATCATGCTCCAGTTCCCTAATCTTTGTGACAAAATCTAAATCTATTAAGGGTGTTTCTGTAATTCTACCTTTCTTGAATGTTACTTTTGCACATTTATCTAATCCGAAGTCCATACCTATGTCGTCACTGAAATATTTTACAATATTGAGGAGGCCTTTCAACTCATTGTCGTCTTTGGCAAAGAATTTGAGATCATCCATGTAGAGTAGGTGATTGAATATTTTCTTATTTATTTTGTAACCATGAAAAGACGCTGATGATTGCAAATATCCTGAAATTATATCACTTTCATTGTATTTTCAGCGGATAAACGCCATTTTTGATTTCTAGAACTAAATTTTAATTTTTTTTTTTTTGCTGCACAATGGACAAAGCTAATTCTCAAAACCTGAATACAAGGCGGGAGTACCACAGGCACGCAAGGGGTTACAGAGCGTGGGAGCAAGAGTAAAAAGGCGGGAAAGAGGAAAGGATGAAGAGAAAGTCGGAGAAATATATCAAGGCATCTGGAGATGTCGATTGATATTTTATTTGAATAGTTGGAGGTTATAGCTATCAGGGAAGCAAGTCAGATGAAGGAAATTCCACAGACAGAAAGTGCGAGGCACGGAGCTGTTGGAGTAGAAGAGACCGCTATATTTTACAGTTTCAGCGGTGAAAGGGTGGGACTGAGATGCCAACCTAGTAGCACGCTTAAATTCATGCAATTTGGGAACTAGCGAAAGTAGCTCGGAGGAGGAGTTACCATGAAAGTATTTGTGAAAAAGACAGAGGAAAGCGGCGGCACTTCTGTGAGAGAACGACTGTAAACGAGACGCCAGATCAGGGCCATTCACATTGCATATCTGTTTCTGGATTTTGCCGAGGACCTTAAGACCATCAGCGGGGGCTCCAGACCACATATTGTGATGGCGTTAAAAGCAGGTAAATGAAATCAACGAGAATAGAAATTCAAAGTGGGAAACATTTAGTGACACAAGGAAAGTAGATCATCTGAAAGAAAAACGGATGAAGTTCTCGACAATTTCTATAATCATTTCAACCAAAGTAAGGCGATGATGTCACTAGAACGCAGGGTGTTGCAAGCAGTAAAAAGGAATGGTAAGACTTCAGGGAGGAGAAGTGAAGAAAAGGACAAGAAAGGAACAGTATTCTAGAAGACAGAACACAGCGACTGGAGTTGCATTTAAATATTTGTAGGATTGCAGTTATGGGGGAAGCGAGGAAATCAAAGAAAATCAGGTGAGAAGTGCGAGAAAAGAAACGATTAGAAGGGAACAGACGGTTGCTTCGAGCTAGTTTGAAACTAAAACGGTGAGACCTAACTGCCAAACAAATAGCACGCTTAAATATATAAAGTCGATGGATTATCAAGAACAGGTCATCAGAACAATTGCCATGAAAATATTTGTAGAAAAGCGAAACTACATCACGTCTGTGAGACAGTGACTGAAGCCAAGATGTCCACACAGGATCGATTACATTGCAGACCTTTGAATTTTATCAAGAATCTCGAGATATGTAGTTGGAGCACTAGACCGAGAGAATGGTAAATTTATAAATGTGCAAGAACGAACTTACAAGAAGAATTGTCTAGCACAACACTGTGAACCAAATCTCCTAGCAGCAGACACAGCAATTGATTAAATATAATCACTTCATGTCAGTGGAAAATATGAATCAAAAAGGCCCAAAGTGCTGTTCTTTTGAAACTTAGAATCAGACAAGCTTACCGCGGAGAAGTTTCTCTGTGGTGATTACAGGAAAACAGTTTCTTTTTGGGAGTTGTTAAAATTTACAAACCATTCCCTGCCCCAGTTAATAACTGATTAGAATTCCGTTTCGAGAGCAATTGCGAGTTTTACTTCGTCGAATCTATCGGATTTGCTACTAAGACCTCAATAAATACTTATGCTATCTGCAGAGGTAACTTGTTGAGAACTGATAACATAGGGAAGGTCAGTGATGACCACGCCTTAATATGAAATGAGCTAGAAGCGTGAACAAGAGGTTCATTACACAATTTGTCAAGAACGATTGGATTAAGACAAATATCCGCCCCATGACAACGTAGCCCCTAAACTTGTGGAGCAGGCTTGCTTGTCAAACCCCGTCTAACGCTTTTTAATGAGCTAGGGTTACAGCTTTATTATCTAATGCTTGACAGAGAAATTCAATGATGATCATTAGCTTTGCTGTCCTGGCGAAATGGAAGCCATATAGTTTATCTGACAGTGTGTCGTGTGAATAAGATATTTAACCAATTGGAGGCCCTAAGACATTGCGAAAAAAGGGCAATAATTCGTAGTTTCCTCAGAGTTGTAAGAGTGAAGAGTGAAGAGAATGAGAGAGAGAGAGAGAGAGAGAGAGAGAGAGAGAAAGAGAGAGAGAGAGAGAAAGAGAGAGAAATGATCTATACAAGTTAACATTAATAAATATGCACTGAATGATATGCATTTGCACACACACACACACATACATACATACATATATATATATATATATATATATATATATATATATATATATATGCAAATACAGGATATATATGAATAAAATGGACTGAGTATTACAATCAAGCATGATGCACTCTGTCGTTAATCAGTAGAGACACGGTCTTCTTTTATATTCACATACGCTTTGTGACTAATATTGAACATTTTACCCGTAGCGTACCATAAAACAATATTTTTTGTCATTTGAACACAGATAGATAGATAGATAGATAGATAGATAGATAGATAGATAGATGTGAATAAACTGATATAGTTTGAGCATTAACACCTAAGAAAGAAATATATATGTACGAGCAAGTATGTGTGCGCATACGCATGTTTTTTTATATATGTTATTTTATATATATATAAATATATATATGTATGTTTCTATATGTATATATATATATATATATATATATATATATATAGATAGATAGATAGATAGATAGATAGATAATGAATAGAATAGTGTAGATAGATATATAGAAAGGTACAGTGTTATAGATAAATAGATAGATAGGATAGATAGATAGATAGATAGATAGATAGATAGACGACTGTAGATCAATAGATAAATAGGTAGATAAAAATAGAGAAAGATAGATGTGAATCGACAGAGTGATAGATAGATAGATAGATAGATAGATAGATAGATAGATAGATAGATAGATAGACTAATATAGATTGATAGATAAATAGATAGAAGATATGAATAGACTGATATAGATAAATAGATAGAAGATATGTATAGACTGATATAGATAGATAGATAGATAGATAGATAGATAGATAGATAGATACTGGGATAGCTCGATAGATAGATAAGAACAGTTTGAGATAGATATGAACTCATGATCAAGACATAGATAGATAGTTTTACATAGACTACTATAGACCGATAGATAAATAGATAGATAGTAAAAGAGTGAGATTGATAGCTAGATAGATAGATAAATAGATACACATCTAATTCTGCCTGTAATTATCACATATGCTCCTTATCTCTCTCCTACCTCACCATAGTTTTTAATTGAATGTGTGGAATTTGAAAGCACCAGTGCCTTAAATAAGACCTAATTACATGTCTTCCCCAATTAACTTAATCATAACTCCAACTGGACATAATTAGTTTGCCTACTATTTCCGGTTTTTCTTTACTTTATTAATTCCGACATTTTTTTTCCTTTAATTCTTTTTTCGTTTCGTCCAAATTCTTTTTCTTTTTTTTTCCATCGCTAATTTTCTTTGTGGTCTGCTAGGTTTGCTTCGGCAGTTTTATTTTTGTATTCCGTAAGCAATTTGTCATAATTCAAGTAACCCTGTCAGCGGGAGATATTGAGAAAGTCTACTATTTCGAGAAAGTTAAATATTTTCTTAATGAATTATTTAGAAAAATGCTTTGTTTACAAGCCAACACACAAGCGCGCGCGCACACACACACTGACACACACACACATGCACACACACACACGCGCATATATATATATATATATATATATATATATATATATATATATATACATACAGAGAGAGAGACAGAGAGTGAGAGAGACGGAGAGAGGAATGAATACAATTCATTTCGTCCATAGAGATGTAGATAGATTTAATTGGGTCCATAGAAAGATTTTTCTTGATTCATAGATAGATATCACGTGGACCATCTATATATACTTATATATATATATATATATATATATATATATAGAGAGAGAGAGAGAGAGAGTGGGAGAGAGTGAGAGAGGGAGAGAGTGGGAGAGAGAGAGAAGAGAGAGAGAGGGAAGAGATAGATAGATAGATAGATAGATAGATAGATAGATAGATAGATAGATCACATAATACATAGATATATATTTAAATAGTTCATGAAAAACTACGATAGACTGAGAGAAAGATATTACTTGGACTATAGATAGATAATAAGAGACTCTGATAGATAGATTGATAGATAGCTAATGAAAATCTGGGGAGATTTAATAGGCGTGATGTGGTCGCAGAATTCGTCTGTCAGCCATTATTGGGTACTTCTGCTTGCGTGGCATTGTGCAGATTCCTGTTGCCAGAGACAGGTTCTTCCAGCAGCCATTCTCTTGACCCCAGGGCAGCACTTCATGTAAGCCTTCGTGTTGACTTTGAGGTGTGAAGATGAATTGAGGCATAACGTCACCATCAGTAGGGATTTAACCAAACACCTTCGTAATCACCATTAGACTCATACAACACTTCCTGAATCCTTTACATTGTCATCAGATTGACATGCCAAAACTCAGACATGTTCGTATGGGACCTTCCGGTGCAAATGACACGCAGTACAGCATGCCGTCTCCAAATTTCTGGCGGAGTGAATTGCTTCATGCTTCTTCTCACAGACCTTGCACAACTGACCCTACTATACTGTTCAGTTGACAAAATCAAGAAATAATTAACAATAATGCGCATGCGCGAAATTAAATATATAGAATGACGACAATTTGCCTATCACACACACACACACACACTATATATATATATATATATATATATATATATATATATATATATATATATATATATATATATATATATATATATTGAAATGGGCAAAAGTCCGACAATTATTTTAAAAGACAATTTTATGTTTATACATTCTTTTTATTGGTGCAAATATTTAAATAATTGTCGGACTTTGTCCATTTCATAATGTATGACGTCATTTGTTTGCATTTCTTACGCCATAAGCAGATATGAATGTACCTGAGAGATTCATGGAAGATTGAAGTTTAAATACAGTAAATTCGACTTTGCTAACCGAACTCTCCTCTGTGGCCAAATCGGCAATGGCACGTCTAGCTAAATGACGGTTCAGTGTAAGATACAGGTTCGAATCCTGTCGGAGAACAAATATTTTCTATGAAAATTTCTCGTACATTCAAGCCGGTAAATGTTGTTTAATACTGTTTGTTATAAACATAGCATTTACTTAAATATTTGTATCTATAAAAAGAATGTATAAACATAAAAATGTCTTTATATATATATATATATATATATATATATATATATATATGATCGAAATAA